GTGATATGAAAAAAAATATTACTATTTTATTTTTTGAGCCATTATTTTATTAGTTATTATTTATTTTATTTATATATATATATATATATATATATAGCTTAAAGTAAAAAAAATCTCGTTAAACTGAAGTCAAGGCAACGATTCTATAGATTTCTTTCTAATTTTAAAATCGAGTTTTAGCTCATTATTTAGAAATTAATAAATTATAATAACTAACAGCATTCTATTACAATTCAATTAATTTATAAATAAATTACATTTTATATTTTATATCTTTATAAAAATAATAATTAAATGATTTCAATATATTTTTTTTTTAAAACAGTAAAAAAATGATAATAGTAACCTGTGGTTGATAGGTCTTTTATAAATTGATTAGATACTTTAAAAAGTGCACTTAAAATATAAATTATAAATAGTCTCCTCATTACATTATTACACTAATTTTTAAATACATACCTTTAAAAGGACTAGATTTAAGCAATTTTAAGACATAAAATCTTATAAAACCATCATTAAGATGTTTATAAAGAAACTAAAACTTTGAACCTAGTATTAAAAAACATAAATATTTATTTAAATAACTTATAAGCAACGATTCGTAAAATAAAATGAGATCCTTTAAAAAGTAAATTAAAAACAATATATATGTATATAGAATTAAAACAATTTAAACAATAGAAAAGAAGACTGCACAAAAGATATATAAGATTTCTTTATTTATTTATATATTTATACACGCAACAAACACACACACATAATAACAAAACAATTTTCATTAAATTTAAATGATAATTCATATATATTATATATAGATACATAGATATTTGGCAAAATGTCTAAAACACCAATTTATGTGATGGTATAATATTTAGTGCCAATGCACAGTACCAATTGCATTTGGAATAGTGAAGAGAACATAAATTGTGCCTAACATAAACGGATACTTAGAGATGAATATGTTTTATGTGCAAGTGAATATTGGAGTGACATGGGATTGCACTGCAAACTGTCTAAAATGTTAAGGTGCATTTATTACGGAAGCATATATATATTGTGTGGATATATGATATTTAAATGCTCATAGTGAGTAGTGAGTAATGGTTATAGTGAGTGTGGAGTTAGTGTGATTTCAGTACTAGTTTAGTGAAGTTAAGTTAAGCATATTAAATATGTTTAAATATGATTAAATTTTGACAATTCTTTTTTTTTTTTTTCATTCAAATGAATTAATGTATTTTATTGTTGTGAGAAAGGTGTGTGAAAATCTACATAAGGATTGCAATGAATAAATACTATTATTTTAAGAATAAAATTAATCTCGAAATATTTTACTGTCTATAAAAATATGAACTGTAAAAACTGCTTATACCATCATAATTATTTTCAGTTGGTAGTAATGTGAAGTCGATGCGAAGAGCTTCAGTGTTATCATTAGTAATTTGAATCTGTTGAGGAACGCTGGCTTGATATCTAAAAATAAAATATATGTAATAAAATATAAAGTTCATGAATTAAAATTAGTATTAGTATTTTTTACATAAATAGTACTGACCCAAATGCTTGAGCTTGTATATTATAAATGCCTGGTGTCAACATACGCCAATATTCACCGCGTCGAGTTGTACGTATTGGTTTATCCTCTAAACCGGATACTACAACTGTAGCATCTTGTATTGGATAACCGCTAGCATCTTTTATAATACCCTTGACACCAATATGAGCCAATTTTAGCAATTGTAACAAACTATGCTTATTACGTGCCCATTCGGTTGGTAGTGTCGATGCCAATGGATATTTGCAACAGCTCAACTCAATTGTAAGTTCAAAGCAATTTGTGAACGCATAATTAAAATCTTGCATGCCACCATTCAGTTCGTACCAGTTTGCTCCATTCGTTATGCCGCCTGAGAAGCTGTCATTGCAATTATTGCCCTGACGCATAATCGGATGATTATCAGCATATGTATGCGCCATCAGCTTAAATACGCGATCATCTGGAGTTAGGCTCTCTTCACAACATTCATGATGAGCACTACAAGCCAACATTTACATTTGGCATTTGTTGCACATGCGTTAAAAATTAAAGTGAAGGGAAAAATATGCATTATATATAAATGTTATTTTAAATTTTCAGTTACAAGTAGTATGTATTGTAATTTATGTACTTTTTGAATTAAATTGTAATGACTTTTATATTATGTCCACTGCAGACAACAACCGCAAAACGTAACGGCAATGATATCCACAGTTCCATAAATTTCAATCAGCTGAAGTTTTGCGGTTTCCTCAAAATTATAGTATATTTTTACAAAAAAAATATATCATCTGCGTTGGGCATTAGTTACATAAAATAATGATTTTAAAGCAATATTTAAAAACATTTTACATAAAATACATATGCCATAATAGTTCGAATAACTAAGAGAGCAATACATTTCTAAATCAATATTATTTCAACTTTTATTTATGTACTTTTACTGAATAAAAGATATATATTAATGAATTTATACTACAAATAAAAATGAATTAAACAATTTGTTAAATGTTTATAACAATTGTTTTTTGAAATAAATTCAAAATTTACAATATTAATTTAGGAATTTAAATATTCACCTTAAAGTATATTCAGTTGGTTAAGTTGGTTTTAAAAAACAATTGGTATAAATAGAATTTTTTAAAGACAACAAACCTAGAATAAAGGTTACTTAACTATACTTAATGTTTGCTTTTTATTCTAAAAATATATATTGTAATTTTACATCCCTTTATACGATTTGTTTTTATTTTTGGACAAAAGAATTACCTATCATATTTATGTAATAATCATATGTAATTCCTTACACAGGCAAGTAGTTAATAAATCAAAGTATTTGTTCAAAGTATTTGATAAATTTTCATTTCTTACAGCCCATATCTTTGAAACCTTCCAAGCAACTGAAAATTATTAAGAAATTATGTTCCTCGTTTCAAAATTGTATAAATTCGATATATACTACTTTCAAGGACCTTTCGAAACGCTCTAAAATTAATTTAGGACGTGCATATTTTATCGTTGTACTAGCTCTTAGGAAATGATATAATCAATCTTATCACAAAAAAAAAAATTTCCCTTACAACTGAGGGCCACCCTAATGTAATTTAGGGTGGTAGTTTGGTTTAGTGATTTAGTTTAGTTAATGTAAGCTTATTAGTCTTAATATTCTAATAAATTTGCTTTTAATAATATTAAAAAAAAAATTTAATACATTATAGTATCTATGCTAATTTTGAACATTTGTATATTGTTTGCAAAGTTACTCTACTGAACCATTTATTCATTTCTGTAGCTGTTTTTACAAATTTTACGAATATACTCGTATGAACGCGTACATTCAGTTACACTTTCTAAAACGTGAACTTACGTCATTACAACTTATTAATATACATAAATACATAAATTCGATATTTGATAGGAACTTACATAGAGTTATCATATGGATAACTTGCAACTACGGCACCACCATGAAAATTAGCTGATAACACAAATGGCTTACTGGCAATCCATTCAATGATTGCCGCAGTTTCTGGTTGACGGGTTTGTGAACGCAATTGTATAACTTGTTCATTTTCTAGCCGATCAGGAAAATCACGATTCAAATCAACGCCAGCGGCATTAGTGCGTCCAATGTATTTGGGAAGAGATTCACAATTTCCCTCCTGAAAAGAGATAATGAATTTCACATTTGAGGTATGAGAAGCAGCAAATTACGACTATTTTTATTAAACCAAATTGGCAACACACATCAGTAATCAAATAGAAAATAGGCATCAGTAACAATTTTGGGTGTTTGTGCGTCATTCGAAGTAAATATTATATTTAAATTTACGCTTTCAACTGTTTTTCAGGAAATTGATAAGTCTACACATATTACGTATGCAACGAGTGTAGGTGGATTCGGTTCAGTTAGATATTTTTAAAAAGTAACTTATCTAATTAATTTATGCACAAATCAATCACTAATTTTCGGATATGTTATTAATGCATTTTTTTATTATTTTGTTAATAAATAAAAAGGTGTTAGTATTATCACAAAATTACGCATCAAATAGACGCACTCTGTCTATATCTAAGGTCAAATAGACCTTTACCTAACGTTATTAATTATAACTTTATTTATGTTTATGATATTTCACAGGAAATATGATTTAATGTACATTTATTACAAAACGTTTCGACAAGCTATTTATATACGTAAGTATATCGTGCCAGTCATTGCTTAAATTACATTAAACGCATTTCATGTTTCAAAAGTGAAATTGACAAATAAATTAGTTACTTGGAATAAGTAAAACTATTGAATATGAAACGCACAAACTGGCGTAATTGTTAACGAATATGTTTATTTATTTAGTTTTACTTTTTACAATACAATTAATTGTGAAGCTTATAGGTTTCCGAGTTCACTTAAATAATACAATCATCAAATTTATATACACCAATAAATATTAATGAATTAATTAGATGTTGACTTTATCGAACAACAAAGAATTTATATTTATTATAGAGATATTGTAAAGAAAGCAATTAAAACTCTTTTAAATTTAATCTGATTTTTTTAAATTAATTATTTTGTTCCTATATAAAATTATTTAATATTAAATAATGATTACTTATAAAACAAATATTAAATAAATTATTTATATATATACAGGTATGACTTTTTTGAACATAAAAACTTAAAATATATTTTTTGAAATACCATATAAAAAAATAATTAGGTTTTTACAACTATGGAATCTCTTTTTTATCTGTTATATTATATAAAAAAGTATTCTTCTCTTTTTATGATAATAATTTTTAATATATTGAATTTGATCTAATGATATCACAAAAATATTGCAGAATTAAAGATAGGTTTTTCGAACAGTAGTGAACACAACAACATAAATTCATTGTATATTATTTTCATTAATTGAATTTTTGGTAATTAATTTTTGAATTTTAGAATTTAATTGAAATACCCATCATCAGTGGTCTTCGAAATAATTAGATCTGATCTTGGAATTATAGATATTTATATTATTAGGTAGACTTCGTCTAAATCAATAAAGAAATAAGTCTTACTGGCAAAAAGATTAACCCTTCTATCCCTCTTTAATTTTTTTTTCCTTTTTTATTTCTCAAGAGATTATAGTGTTTCAAGGTGGTTACTCACTCTGTTGGACTCAATTATAAGCAGAAATAGAATTATAGGAGAATAATAAAATATCTAAATCAATCTTTTACCAATTTCAAACGAAGTTGATACAAGAATGACAAGTAAAGCACTCTTTTGTGACTTTTGAAAAATCAATTTTCTTTTTAACAAAGAAAAAATAATAATCAATTCATAATAAAAATTTTTGTGAAAATCAATTTATTGATTTAATAAATAACAGTGTCCTTTGTTCATAAACGATTTAATTGATTACTCAATATTGTAATAATTCAATAACAATTGAGTTCTTAATTTTACTATCAGAATATTTGCACTTGCACTTTTTAATTGAATTTTTATATTTATTTCAAGATATAATTAAATAAATTAAATGATGATAAATATATTTTAAAATTAAATTGAAAAACTCTTAGTGAAGCACTTTAAAATATAATACTTAATGAGATCATGAAATGCTTTTTTAATCTATAGTTTTTTGAAGTAGTATAATTTGCAAATAATTTTTAATTTAATAAAACTGAGGCTTTGAGTGACATATGTACTTTATACATATTACATACAAATATATCACCGATTTACTGCAAAAATTACCATCTCAAGATTGGTATTGTACGTTTTCTTTCCAATTTAATTTAATTCAAATAAAACCTGAATTAAAAGTAAAACTAGAGGCATAAGAAATCTTGATTTTTTTTGGTTGAAAAAATAGCTTGATTTACAACACTAGGCAAATACTTGGTGAATAACCATATTAGCATTAGAAGTTCTTAAGAAAACCACGTTAGGTTTGCTTAAATCCTTTGGGAGACTACGTGTTCACAATTTCAATGAGTTAACTGCATATTTCAATAAAAAATTAAAAATAGGAAAGTGTAAAGTATAATAATATACACTTTAAATATGTTTATATTCAAAATGTTAAACACATTTGTTTTTCTTGATTCTTTATTTTGAGTTACTATTTAAATTTTTAATTCAATCTGTAACTGCCATTCGTTGATTCGTTAATTCATTTGATTAGAATTCTATCTCTGAAATTATTTGGAAAATTCAAGAACACTACGAGTTCAAAAATAAAATATATAGTGATTTTTATTAGCTTTATAAGGAATAACAGGTCCAAACTTAATATCTAAATAGTTATATACTAAATTGGGAATTTGTTTATTTACTTATGTATTTACCATACTGTTTAGCTCTACTCGCAATTTATCCGACCGCTTTTGTAACGGGTTATGTTTGGATTTTAAAACTGGCACTTATGCGATAATAAAATCTATTTTTTACATCATTTCTATTGAGAACAGCTTTTTTATAAATCAAAGTAAGAATAGTTTTAAGGAACAAAAATTAAATGTAGCAAATTTTAATGGCATTTACATTTCTGGTATAAAAAATACCGAAATTTTTATTTGTTATTTAAAAAATCTATGCTAACACAAAAAAGCATTTATTTAAATCACGTTAGGAAAAGTGCAGAGATAAGAAATAGAAAATAAATAAAATTGATAACGTAATAAACATTGAGAAATTGAGAGAATTAGATTAGCAACACCATAAATGAGTTGCAATTCTAGAGTTGCATGGACAATAAATTGATAATTACATACCAGAACGAAAGAAATTACAATAAATCACACAGGATAATACAAATATCATATATGTGAGACTCTAAAGCCAAAAATGCTCAGTGAGCGAAAAAAACGTACGATACATTGTGGGAAACAAAACGAATTTCGTTTTATGGTACTTATAAAAACAACCAGAACGCATTGTGAAAATAGAGAAATGTCACAATGCGTTTTTGATAGCATCTAATGTAACCCTTAAGTGACGAACAATTAAGAAGATATTTAGACTTTATCTACACCGATAGTCACTATTTTCATCTATCAATGTGTATTTCTATATATTCATTTTTGGTTTTATAGCATTGTACATATAGTACATGTTAAAGTATTAATTTTTTTTAATAGCACACAGTTCTTAGATACTAAAATGTAATATAGTACATAATATTGCTATACTGTTGTAATAAATCGCTTGGTTACTAATCATAACGTCTTGTGGCATTCTTCTTTTACCACAACGCGTTCTAGCTGTTTTCAGGGTAACATATATATATATATATACAAATTTGGACCAAAAACATTATTACATTATTAAAAATGTAAGAAGTATTTTTAGCCTTTTCACTAGGTTCAATGGAATTCAGTATATATGTTTTTTTTTTTTATATTTGCTTATTACATTAATAAAACTGTTAAAATGACATTATAATTTAGTACGTATTTGCATTAATATTAATGTTATAGTACTTTCACAGTAAACCGACTTTATAGTAAAATACTCTTCAGTTTAATTCGATTTTAATCTGATTTCAGCCCGATTTTTTTTTTTTTTTGTTTTATGAAGTTTACAAACAGCTAATCAACCTCAGTTTAGTAGTTCACACTCAATTAAAGTTATTACAGTAAAATTTAAAAAAAAATAAATATTTCGCAAAAGCATTTTTGTACTGCGATATACACGATGCAAAAAAAAACAAAAAACAAAGTACGCATTTTTGTGCAATAAAATACTAACAAAAAAAAACAATTTTGTAGCATTATTAAATAATTTAAAAGACGTTAAATGTTGAAATGTTGAAATATTGGTTTTTTCTTGTATTTTATATGATATTTAAAATTCAGATCATAATGATAGACTTTGTTATGGTGACGACTGCGACAATGTTTGTCCATGTGCAAAATTAATATGAGGTTTTATTTATTTATGACGTTTTTTTTTACAGATTAAACTTTGTGAAAAACAATTTTTAATCTCTAAAAAATTGTTAAAACATTTCGAACGTATGCAAGGTTTACAAGTAAACTAAGTAAAAACCAAAATAAATAGTTTAAGATGATCAAGCGGCAGCAGTTTACAAATTTAAAAAATATTTTTAAACTTTTCAAAACTAAGATTAAATAAAATTGATTGAGTTAAGTTCTATTAGTTTTAATGTTAAAGCAATCAACATTGTAAAAATTATTATGTTAAGACACTTGGTTTTGACAAGCTGCATTCACTTATAGAATTTTATTTAAATATATGCAACTCATTCCGTTTGCGATAGAAGTCAAGCGATTGACCTCATTTTTTATTAACTTAAAACACACAATATATACATATAAATAGATATAAATTGCATAAAGTACATATATATGCAATATTATAGAGTAGGTATATGTCAATAAACTTTGTTTTCTTTCTTTTATAACTCATTGTTTACAAAATGAAATGAAAATGTGCATTTTTTGTAGAAACTGCAACAGATGCTGCATCGTTTCTGCATAACGAAAATTATTAATGCAACAATTTTATAAACTTTTCCTATCTAAAATGAACAATAGCAAATATGTTATATGAAAAAAAAATAAAAAATTATAAATTGTAGGTGATAAGGTTAAATAACTGTCTACTAATACAAAAAAATGAAACAATAGTTTATTAAAAATTTTAAAGCTCTGATAATTTTTAGAAATTAATAAGTTAAAAACAATT